TCAAAAAAGCCTTATATGTACTCTCACCTTTAACCTTACCCTGGACATCCATTCTTGTTCTATAAAAATGTGAAATGAAAACTTTTATAAAGGAAAGAAATGTCAAATGAAAAATTTTATAAAGGAAATATTTTTCATTTCATATTTTCATAAAACAAGAATCCAGCCCTGCATTGACACACATAAGTGACAGTATGACAAATAATTGCTTTGTTCCAGTACCTGCAAGAATCTACTAGTTTTGAAATTTCTTTCGATATCACAAAGGAAAAATCGGTTATCGTATTAAAAACTTTTACATTCTTGCAGTGCTGGAACAGGCCAAATTCAATTCCGTTTTAAGCCACACGCCGTCAAAAATGTGATATCACTCTCTTCATATTTTTAAATTATGTCTAACGCCGTCATATCGAGGCCCTTGCCGTCGAGTTTCGCTTATTCTCGTCAGACACAGAAAATATATTTTTAATTTCTTGCGATCGAAATCTATTTTCACATCTGTCATCATGTGTAATAAATAATAAGTCGAGCCCAAAAGCACAAACAAAATAGATGCATATGTATTTTGTTATGCGCTTGGAAAAGGTTTTTTTATGCGCTTGGAAAGGCTTTTTTGACTGGCTAAAGTCGTTGAAGAAGCCAGCCGATGACTAAAGGCAGTCAAAAAAGCCTTATATGTACTCTCACCTTTAACCTTACCCTGGACATCCATTATTGTTCTATAAAAATGTGAAATGAAAACTTTTATAAAGGAAAGAAATGTCAAATGAAAAATTTTATAAAGGAAATATTTTTCATTTCATATTTTCATAAAACAAGAATCCAGCCCTGCATTGACACACATAAGTGACAGTATGATAAATAATTGCTTTGTTCCAGTACCTGCAAGAATCTACTAGTTTTGAAATTTCTTTCGATATCACAAAGGAAAAATCGGTTATCGTATTAAAAACTTTTACATTTTTGCAGTGCTGGAACAGGCCAAATTCAATTCCGTTTTAAGCCACACGCCGTCAAAAATGTGATATCACTCTCTTCATATTTTTAAATTATATCTAACGCCGTCATATCGAGGCCCTTGCCGTCTAGTTTCGCTTATTCTCGTCAGACACAGAAAATATATTTTTAATTTCTTGCGATCGAAATCTATTTTCACATCTGTCATCATGTGTAATAAATAATAAGTCGAGCCCAAAAGCACAAACAAAATAGATGCATATGTATTTTGTTATGCGCTTGGAAAAGATTTTTTTATGCGCTTGGAAAGGCTTTTTTGACTGGCTAAAGTCGTCGAAGAAGCCAGCCGATGACTAAAGGCAGTCAAAAAAGCCTTATATGTACTCTCACCTTTAACCTTACCCTGGAAATCCATTCTTGTTCTATAAAAATGTGAAATGAAAACTTTTATAAAGGAAAGAAATGTCAAATGAAAAATTTTATAAAGGAAATATTTTTCATTTCATATTTTCATAAAACAAGAATCCAGCCCTGCATTGACACACATAAGTGACAGTATGACAAATAATTGCTTTGTTCCAGTACCTGCAAGAATCTACTAGTTTTGAAATTTCTTTCGATATCACAAAGGAAAAATCGGTTATCGTATTAAAAACTTTTACATTCTTGCAGTGCTGGAACAGGCCAAATTCAATTCCGTTTTAAGCCACACGCCGTCAAAAATGTGATATCACTCTCTTCATATTTTTAAATTATGTCTAACGCCGTCATATCGAGGCCCTTGCCGTCGAGTTTCGCTTATTCTCGTCAGACACAGAAAATATATTTTTAATTTCTTGCGATCGAAATCTATTTTCACATCTGTCATCATGTGTAATAAATAATAAGTCGAGCCCAAAAGCACAAACAAAATAGATGCATATGTCTTTTGTTATGCGCTTGGAAAGGCTTTTTTGACTGGCTAAAGTCGTCGAAGAAGCCAGCCGATGACTAAAGGCAGTCAAAAAAGCCTTATATGTACTCTCACCTTTAACCTTACCCTGGACATCCATTCTTGTTCTATAAAAATGTGAAATGAAAACTTTTATAAAGGAAAGAAATGTCAAATGAAAAATTTTATAAAGGAAATATTTTTCATTTCATATTTTCATAAAACAAGAATCCAGCCCTGCATTGACACACATAAGTGACAGTATGATAAATAATTGCTTTGTTCCAGTACCTGCAAGAATCTACTAGTTTTGAAATTTCTTTCGATATCACAAAGGAAAAATCGGTTATCGTATTAAAAACTTTTACATTCTTGCAGTGCTGGAACAGGCCAAATTCAATTCCGTTTTAAGCCACACGCCGTCAAAAATGTGATATCACTCTCTTCATATTTTTAAATTATGTCTAACGCCGTCATATCGAGGCCCTTGCCGTCTAGTTTCGCTTATTCTCGTCAGACACAGAAAATATATTTTTAATTTCTTGCGATCGAAATCTATTTTCACATCTGTCATCATGTGTAATAAATAATAAGTCGAGCCCAAAAGCACAAACAAAATAGATGCATATGTATTTTGTTATGCGCTTGGAAAAGATTTTTTTATGCGCTTGGAAAGGCTTTTTTGACTGGCTAAAGTCGTCGAAGAAGCCAGCCGATGACTAAAGGCAGTCAAAAAAGCCTTATATGTACTCTCACCTTTAACCTTACCCTGGAAATCCATTCTTGTTCTATAAAAATGTGAAATGAAAACTTTTATAAAGGAAAGAAATGTCAAATGAAAAATTTTATAAAGGAAATATTTTTCATTTCATATTTTCATAAAACAAGAATCCAGCCCTGCATTGACACACATAAGTGACAGTATGACAAATAATTGCTTTGTTCCAGTACCTGCAAGAATCTACTAGTTTTGAAATTTCTTTCGATATCACAAAGGAAAAATCGGTTATCGTATTAAAAACTTTTACATTCTTGCAGTGCTGGAACAGGCCAAATTCAATTCCTTTTTAAGCCACACGCCGTCAAAAATGTGATATCACTCTCTTCATATTTTTAAATTATGTCTAACGCCGTCATATCGAGGCCCTTGCTGTCTAGTTTCGCTTATTCTCGTCAGACACAGAAAATATATTTTTAATTTCTTGCGATCGAAATCTATTTTCACATCTGTCATCATGTGTAATAAATAATAAGTCGAGCCCAAAAGCACAAACAAAATAGATACATATGTATTTTGTTATGCGCTTGGAAAAGGTTTTTTTATGCGCTTGGAAAGGCTTTTTTGACTGGCTAAAGTCGTCGAAGAAGCCAGCCGATGACTAAAGGCAGTCAAAAAAGCCTTATATGTACTCTCACCTTTAACCTTACCCTGGACATCCATTCTTGTTCTATAAAAATGTGAAATGAAAACTTTTATAAAGGAAAGAAATGTCAAATGAAAAATTTTATAAAGGAAATATTTTTCATTTCATATTTTCATAAAACAAGAATCCAGCCCTGCATTGACACACATAAGTGACAGTATGATAAATAATTGCTTTGTTCCAGTACCTGCAAGAATCTACTAGTTTTGAAATTTCTTTCGATATCACAAAGGAAAAATCGGTTATCGTATTAAAAACTTTTACATTCTTGCAGTGCTGGAACAGGCCAAATTCAATTCCGTTTTAAGCCACACGCCGTCAAAAATGTGATATCACTCTCTTCATATTTTTAAATTATGTCTAACGCCGTCATATCGAGGCCCTTGCCGTCTAGTTTCGCTTATTCTCGTCAGACACAGAAAATATATTTTTAATTTCTTGCGATCGAAATCTATTTTCACATCTGTCATCATGTGTAATAAATAATAAGTCGAGCCCAAAAGCACAAACAAAATAGATGCATATGTATTTTGTTATGCGCTTGGAAAAGATTTTTTTATGCGCTTGGAAAGGCTTTTTTGACTGGCTAAAGTCGTCGAAGAAGCCAGCCGATGACTAAAGGCAGTCAAAAAAGCCTTATATGTACTCTCACCTTTAACCTTACCCTGGAAATCCATTCTTGTTCTATAAAAATGTGAAATGAAAACTTTTATAAAGGAAAGAAATGTCAAATGAAAAATTTTATAAAGGAAATATTTTTCATTTCATATTTTCATAAAACAAGAATCCAGCCCTGCATTGACACACATAAGTGACAGTATGACAAATAATTGCTTTGTTCCAGTACCTGCAAGAATCTACTAGTTTTGAAATTTCTTTCGATATCACAAAGGAAAAATCGGTTATCGTATTAAAAACTTTTACATTCTTGCAGTGCTGGAACAGGCCAAATTCAATTCCGTTTTAAGCCACACGCCGTCAAAAATGTGATATCACTCTCTTCATATTTTTAAATTATGTCTAACGCCGTCATATCGAGGCCCTTGCCGTCGAGTTTCGCTTATTCTCGTCAGACACAGAAAATATACTTTTAATTTCTTGCGATCGAAATCTATTTTCACATCTGTCATCATGTGTAATAAATAATAAGTCGAGCCCAAAAGCACAAACAAAATAGATGCATATGTATTTTGTTATGCGCTTGGAAAAGGTTTTTTTATGCGCTTGGAAAGGCTTTTTTGACTGGCTAAAGTCGTCGAAGAAGCCAGCCGATGACTAAAGGCAGTCAAAAAAGCCTTATATGTACTCTCACCTTTAACCTTACCCTGGACATCCATTCTTGTTCTATAAAAATGTGAAATGAAAACTTTTATAAAGGAAAGAAATGTCAAATGAAAAATTTTATAAAGGAAATATTTTTCATTTCATATTTTCATAAAACAAGAATCCAGCCCTGCATTGACACACATAAGTGACAGTATGACAAATAATTGCTTTGTTCCAGTACCTGCAAGAATCTACTAGTTTTGAAATTTCTTTCGATATCACAAAGGAAAAATCGGTTATCGTATTAAAAACTTTTACATTCTTGCAGTGCTGGAACAGGCCAAATTCAATTCCGTTTTAAGCCACACGCCGTCAAAAATGTGATATCACTCTCTTCATATTTTTAAATTATGTCTAACGCCGTCATATCGAGGCCCTTGCCGTCTAGTTTCGCTTATTCTCGTCAGACACAGAAAATATATTTTTAATTTCTTGCGATCGAAATCTATTTTCACATCTGTCATCATGTGTAATAAATAATAAGTCGAGCCCAAAAGCACAAACAAAATAGATGCATATGTATTTTGTTATGCGCTTGGAAAAGATTTTTCTTTGGTGAACAATAAACTCAATCGCTCAGACGTTTTTATGTATATCGGATGTGTTGTTGCTTTTTTATTGTCTGAAGTATGAATATGTTAAATTAGCCGTCGCATTGCCAACAAAAACACAAAAAACAAAAACAACGGGAAACGTTATTAAATTCATTGAGTAGTTGAATTGAATTAAAACGCAAAGAATTTTTTTGTGGGTTTAGTGTACAGACGAGTGCTTAATTTTGGATTTACTTAACGAATTGGCTGATCAACTTTCGAGCTGTCCTGCGAAAGCAAGAGGGCTGTGTCGCACTGTCAGTGCGACAGTGTGGGAGGCGATATCATCATTAGGCGGTGCTGCAAATCTCGGTGCTGTACAAAGGGGATCTTGTGACGGATGTAGTTCTTCCGAAATGGGAACTGTCAAATCAAGAGACATATCGTCTGGGGACAATTCAATAGACGACATAAATGTAGCAGCTTGCAGTTCTGGCTTGAAGCAAGATCATAACCAGAGAAAAGGGTTCTGTGGCAATGGCGGCTACTTGCAAAAGAACGACCTGTGCTACGACATTGGGAACAATTCACACTACCAGCCTGTGCGTCAACCCAGTATACGAAGTCGAAGTCAGCAGCCAATGCCAACAACGGAGGAATTGGAAAGAAAATTTACTAAGGTGTTGGTATGTAATATATTCGATATTTCCCAGTTACTTCCGTTCAAACGCACACACACAAACGCTCTCAACACAATGACGATTCTCGCGAGCTGTTATTGAAGTTTATATGGGTTTGAATAATAGGTATTTTAATTCAAAAGCACGCCTCAGCATGTCGACCGAACACGCTTCATATTTTTTTTGATTAAAACCAAACCTAATGCCAATTAATGTTCTGACTCATTTGTTCATCAATTGACTGAGAAATAATACACTTAGCTTAGACAAACCAGTTTCTTGATTGATTGTTGTTGCTGCTAGTGTAAATGTATTCATTCATACGTATTTGAATATAAGCGTACTAACAGATATACCTCCCAATCATGATGTGCAATTCTCGATGAATTTGAACTGCAAAAACAGATGAAAAATGGGTTAGGTGTTCTATTCAATGTTCCGAATGCATGGTGCCTGGAAATAGAAAAAAATAGTTCCAGGTTTTGTCAGGTCGATCGATGGTATTAAATACACACAACACCAAAATTCTTCGAATGAACTTAAGTTTGAGTAAATTTACATTAGAATCGCTAGAATTGATTTCGCCTAATTGACATGGTCACAACTTTTTTAATTACATGTATGAGTATTACGCATTATAATACGAGGGAGCATATAGGTTATTGACACTTGACCATTGAAAAACGACAGAAATCAGAAAAGGTCATTATTGAAAAGCTGCAAAAAATATTCCTAAGTATGTGAGTTTACCCGATTTTTGGGTAGCACGATGTAAATAACGGTGGCAAAAGGTGGATTATTGTAGTTTTCGTTGTGGTAAAACATTGCTCCGGTTAGAACCTTTTCCTTTAATAGTTTTTAAAAAATGTTTGCTGCTAAACTGACTACACAAGTTATTAAATACCAGTTTTCTTTTTTATTTAGGCTTCGATGGATTTACCTCCAGATAAAGCAAAGCTCCTAAAGAATTACGACGATGAAAGAAAATGGGACATAATTTGTGATCAGGCAAGTTTTATTGGGATTAATGTAGTGCGTTACTAAATGAAATATAATATGTTATTTCAGGAGATGGTTCAAGCCAAGGATCCGCCATCTCACTATCTCAACAAGCTCCGAACATATTTGGATCCGAAAGCTTCGCGTAGTCATCGGGTAAGTAGTCACTCTTTAAATATAAAGTTGAATCATTTGTTGACATGGTGGGATATAACATCTTTCCATTTCTCTTTCTAATTGTGATTCTCTATTTCTCCCCATTTCTCTTGCTTTGCTTAATAATTTGCACATGTTTTTCATGGTTTAACAATAAATTGGTATCGTGACAACATTTCGTGGAACCACGATTTTGTTTGTGATTAAAAATATGCCTACTTACAGCTTTATTTTATTTATTTTTTCTGTCAGAAACGAAAAATGGTTGGCGAATCGACGTCTACACAGGTGTTACGCGATTTAGAAATTTCCTTGCGCACCAACCATATAGAGTGGGTGAAAGAATTTCTGGACGATACAAACAAAGGGCTCGATGCCCTTGTTGATTACCTCAGTTTCCGCCTTCAAATGATGCGACAGGAGCAGAGAGTCCATGGCTCGTTTAATGAGTCCGAAGAACATTTGATTTTGAACAATAGTGGTTTGGGTAACAATACTTCCGAGGCAATGGGAGTTATGTCCTTGAGTGGTGCAAGCAATGCGTCAAATTTTGGTGGTGTGAGCAGTGTCAACCTTCTGGAATCATCGAGGTACCAAAATTCGAATACATCCGCTTTAAATGTAATCACAAATAGCATTTTGCGGCCATCGATACTGGACGCTCTTGACAGCCCCAGCATCAAGAGGCGTTCACGCCACATTGCCAAATTAAATATGGGTGCATCAACCGACGACATACACGTCTGTATAATGTGTTTACGTGCAATAATGAATAACAAATACGGATTTAATATGGTTATTCAACACCGCGAAGCAATTAACTGCATAGCGCTTAGCTTGATACATAAGTCGTTGCGCACGAAGGCGTTGGTACTGGAGCTTCTAGCTGCAATTTGTTTGGTCAAGGGAGGACATGAGATTATATTGTCGGCTTTCGACAACTTCAAAAATGTCTGCAACGAAACTCATCGATTTCAAACTCTCATGGAGTACTTTATGAACTATGATGTGTTTAATATTGACTTCATGGTTGCGTGTATGCAATTTATGAATATAGTGGTTCATTCTGTTGAGGACATGAACTATCGAGTACACTTGCAGTACGAATTCACGGCTTTGGGTCTCGACAAGTATCTTGAAAAGCTTCGACTCACCGAATCGGAGGAGCTGAAAGTTCAAATATCGGCCTATTTAGATAATGTTTTTGACGTGGCTGCTTTAATGGAAGATTCCGAAACCAAAACAGCCGCTCTTGAAAGAGTGCAAGAATTGGAAGACCAAATAGAAAGGGAAATTGACAGAAACTCGGAGTTATTGTATAAATTGGCTGAGATGGACACTGAAGTTAGGTTCTTAAAGGCCGAGAGGGAAGACTTGTTGACGACGAAGCTCAAAATCGACGAGGAAGTGACAACGTTGCGACGAATATTAAAACAAAATGAACAGGAACTGAAAAAGCGAGAATCTCTTTTGCAAAGCAAAAACCTTGAGTTGCAAACTTTAACACGGTCACTGCCTCGATCGAGTTCAAACGGGACCAACTCATCCGATAATGATGTTTCTGTCAAAGAATCTTCGGTCGAGTGTCCATCGCCCCCGCTTCCACCTCCTCCCCCACCACAAGAACATATTTCAGCATGCCTGTCCCCACCACCACCACCGCCACCATTACCCCCTGCGCCACCACCTCCACCTCCATTGGGAGCATCGGTGTCACTAAATATGCCTCCACCGCCACCAGTAATTAGCGAATGTGCCTTGTCGCCGCTGCAACAAAATTCCGCTCCAATATTGTTCCAACCTCCTCCACCCCCTGTTGCAGGATTTATGCCAGCTCCAGATGGTGCCATGACCATCAAAAGGAAAGTACCAACAAAATACAAGCTTCCCACATTAAATTGGATAGCTTTGAAACCAAATCAGGTGAGAATAGCATTTTCCTTTAGAATTAATTAGCTTGACGATATTGTGGTTACAGGTCCGGGGAACAATCTTTAATGAGCTGGACGATGAAAAGATATACAAGTTTATTGATTTTAATGAATTTGAAGAACGTTTCAAGATCGGCGTTGGTGGCGGTTTATCTACAGGAAACAGTTCGGAAGTCGACGGAACACTGCAATCGTATCCCAGTAAGAGGTTCAAGAAACCAGACAATATATCTTTGCTGGAACATACAAGATTGAGAAACATAGGTACAACATGCTTAAATAATGCTACCACATAAATTTAATTTTATCTTTAATCTATCGTTATATACAGCGATTTCCCGCCGAAAACTGGACATGCCGATAGATGAGGTAATTTCAGCTATACACAGCTTAGACTTAAAAAAATTGTCGCTCGAAAATGTCGAGCTGCTACAAAAAATGATTCCAACCGACGTAGAAGTAAAAGCCTACAAGGAATACATAATCGAAAGAAAGGACCAAAATCTTCTAACGGATGAAGACAAAATGATGCTTCAGCTTTCCAAGGTCGAACGAATCTCTTCGAAGTTGTCTATAATGAATTATATGGGAAACTTTTTTGATTGTTTGCATTTAATATGTCCGGTAAGTTGCTAGAATATGTACAATGTATTGAAGTAATTTTGAAACTCTATTCGTATTTAGCAAATACAATCCATAACTTCGGCGTCAACTTCCCTCAAACAATCTCGAAAATTCAAGGCAGTCCTTGAAATAGTGTTAGCTTTTGGCAACTATTTGAATAGCAGTAAGAGGGGACCTGCTTATGGGTTCAAGTTGCAATCGTTGGACACATTAATTGATACGAAGTCGACCGATAAGCGTTCGTCATTGCTTCATTACATCGTTGCAACCATACGACAAAAATTTCCTGAGCTACTCAATTTCGAAACGGAATTGTACTGTACTGATAAAGCGGCACAGGTCTCTCTGGAGAACATTATAACTGACGTTCATGATTTAGAAAAAGGGATGGAATTGGTAAAGAAGGAAGCCGATCTGCGTGTGAAAGGAACTCAAACACACATTTTACGAGACTTCCTTAACAACTCCGAAGATAAACTGAAGAAAATTAAAATCGAATTGAAAAATGCCCAGGAATCGTTCAAGGAGTGTGTGGAGTACTTTGGGGAATCGTCACGCAATGCGGATGCGGCTGCATTTTTTTCTTTAATAGTTAGATTCACCCGGGCATTTAAGGTAATTTACAAAGCTCCGATTTATATATATATATGTGTATCTTAAGGTAATAATATAAATGTTTAGGCCTACGATCAAGAAAACGAACAGAGAAGAAGACTGGAACAGGCTGCTGCTGCTGCAGCATCTAAAAAGGAAAGCGAACAGGTCCAAATGAGGAACAAGTGTAACCAGAAGAAACAACAGGTAACTATTTTACGAAGCTTTTCACCAAACGTAGTAGATTGTCTGTTTTCACTTAATCATTTAATCACCATTGTCTCCATAAATACAATTCATTAGAAACTTGGTTGCGTGACTATGGAAAGCGGCTTATTGCATAAAACGCTCATTAATTTGGCCTGACGGATTGATTATTAGTGGGTGTGCATCCGGTTAATTTTATGTAGACTAATTGGAAAAAATCTTTTTGTTGGTGGTGGCAGTGGGACAAATCTAATTGATTGCGGAAAAAGTTATTGGCCTTCGTCTATCACTTTAATTTTCGTCATCTGCTATACAATGATAGCACAATCAAAAATAAACAATCAAGTTATAATTTGATAGAAAAAGAAAAACATATATCCTTTCGCCCTCGTCGATCGAAAGCGTCGAATTTCAACTAAGAAAGATATTTTCTGACATTTGTTATTGTCCAACATCAGTACAGCAAGCGTTCGAAAAAATACAGAAAGGGAGTCGTCCCGGCCACTTTAAAATCAGCATATCAGACTCCATGTAAGTGACTTGTACGTGAGTTGTGTTGAAAGTAATCAATTTATTGTTCTCCAGCTTTTTCTATTATTTCAATTAGTGTAGAAAACATTAACTAGATTGTTTGCCCTTAACATTTCCAAAGTCATGCAACGACTACACAAAAAAGTGCATTAGTAGCTTCGTTTTCTGTTAATCTCTTGTCTTGCTTCGTATAGGTTGTAGACTTTTACTAATCCATGTGCATTTTATTTTCTTCTTTCATTTACACATTCTTTCATGGACATTAAAGCTTCCTGCCGGGATATGTCTCCAGGACGCCGTAATAAACGAACTGAAATGTAAAGCCATTTCAGTTCGGGAAAAGAAGCTTTTACTGCAGGACGAAGTTTACAATGGAGCGCTAGAAGACATCCTACTTGGCCTAAAGAGCGAGCCGTATCGTCGAGCAGATGCGGTTCGTCGCAGCCAGCGCCGGCGTATTGATAATAACCGCCTTTCACGGACTCTCGAAGAGCTTGACGTTTAAAATACACGTTAAAACATTTATACCAGTATCAGCCCAATATTTTTACGTTTTGCCAGACGCATATATTGGACTCCAAATAACCATAGTTGTAAGAATCGAAACTATTTCGATATAAAATTTTTATAAACCTATCGAAGATGCATTTTTATAATAACGACTGCGAACGAGTTGTTGTATTTTACATTCCCACATTAGATTGCAATAACAACCAAAAACGAATATTTCACGAGGCATTGAGCCGTCTTATATAAGCTAACTGCATTTTTATCAAACTCATCTTTTCACACATACGTTGAATCTCCTAGAATACATAGCATATGTTCATTATATTTTGCGAAATGAAAAATATAGCAAAAAATAAAATAAGTATAGTTTTTTATAAGCAATTTTTGTAGGTTTTTTTACACAATTTATATCGAAATTATATTAAACCAAATAAAAAGGAAAATAATAATAGATTTGCATGTGAAACCTTATTAACAACTAATTAATAACATGGGATGACACACTTATTGATTCTATTTTGTTGTATGTGTATTATTTATGTTTACTGTTTAAAACGAATATGTTTATTGTTTTTAAATCTTTTTTTTTAATTACATGTATATACATATATAAGTTTGTTTTAAGTTTTTTTTATTATTCCATAAAGATCAAATATTAAAATTGTCTGCGTAATCAATATTTTTTTTTAAATATTGGTATAAAATTCTACTGAATGTTTTTTTTTTTTCTCAGTCCAGAAAATGGCGCTAACTTGCGAAAAAAAAACTTATTACCGAAATTGCAAGCATTTTAATTTTAAAGATTTTTGTTGGTAACTCATATTATAAGTTAGAGAAAGTCATTACTGGTGATAACTGCTCAGTTCCAGAACCTGCAAGAATCATCTATGTTTGCAATTCTTTGATATCATAAACGGGAAAATCGGTTATGCCTAAGCGGATATGTCCGCTTCTTTTCCAAATTATACAAGTTTCAAATTGAGTTAAATAGCGCGATAGATGATAGAAATACTTAATGTTCTTTTAAAAAATATGACCCATACTCTTTAATCTTTCAATTACATGACAAAACTGTTCGATTCTGTTCAGTGTTATATGTACATGCATAAATATCCTGTTTTTGATCGGACCAAAAGTTTTTTAGACAATGGTTTTGTTTTTTTTTTTTTCATTTCCTTTATATCATACAATTTAATTTAAATTAGCCAACATGGCCATACAACAAAATATAAAAAAACTAAATACATACTATATATTTATGTAAAAAAAAGTTAAATAACAATAGTCTTTCAGACACAACTCCTCTACCAAGCTGAGCAGCCGTTAAGCAGGCGGAGAGGAAAAAGGCAAGAGGCATCAATAGTCGCATCGACACAGATGCTGTGAAAATGAACTTTCAAACTAATTTTGAAATTGAAAATTTTGAATTAAAAATTTATCGATATTTGTAAAAATTGTTGAAAAATGGATATCATAACAACCCACGATTTGGGTCGTATAAGAAAACATATAAAAATCTACTAATTTTTGTCAAAACATCTTAAAATTATCGACATTTCAATGTTCTCAAGCGTTGATAAATCTACCTGTATTCTTCTATCATGCATCAATACATTTCGGAGCTAATTATCACTCGTTTTTGAACGAGCGAATGTAGCACCTATTTAATCCCGCTTCGGCCCGGAACAGGTTAGCAGCCATGGTTACTACACACAAAAATTGGCAGAAAATAGAAAAAAATTGTAGTAAGCTTGTGGTTACCTTTTTATTGTACCATGGGTAATGCGAGAGTAAAAAATGATTGATTATGGTGAGAAAGTGAAAGCACGACGCAACGCAACCATTTTGGTCAGAGCCATACGTTCAACTTGTGTGGTGAAAAATGTCGAAGGCGCATGTCGGATATTAGGTAGGCGTCTCAATCAGACCACACTAATATAAACAAGGTAACTTTATGCAGTCATATGTTTCCAATTGTTTAAGAATTATGGCTTAAATTAACGTTCGTAACTCTGTTGTAGTTTTTGCAATTGTTTGAACACCTATCTCACTAGACAAAATTTATTCTTTTGGTAACTTATATATGAACTCAGTTGTTTTGTCTTTTATCGACGACTCACCGCAATTATTGATCAATAAAAATGTGAGCAAGCAAGCTATTACTATTTGTTAGTTTTTTTTAACATCCAAGCTAAATTCAATGTGTGGCATTGCACTTAGTAATCTGTCGCCTAGAAAATCGTCCGACTCCGTTGTCTGGCAAGACCCAGTCGGCCATTATGCTTCACACATTTTCATCCATTGTGAATTCCTCCTTGTCTTCGTTTTTGTGTGGTTCGGATCGCTTTTGAATTTAGTTGGAATAATTTTACAAACTATACGCATTGCAGTTTTATCATCAAACTTTTCAATTTTTTCGAAGTAGGAGAGAAATCAATGTCAAAAGAAAAAATCTTTAACAATACACAAAATACACCATAATAATGGTATCGATATGTGAGGTTTAGAACAACAATTATCCGTTCCAGCGAGCTAGCTAGCAAAGGCTTCGACTCAATTTGCTCAATTTCTTTCTCAAAAATAAAATATTGGAAAATTGTTCTTTTATTAAATTTCAATCTTGGTCGCTCAGAGTTTGCTTGAATATCTCCCATGGAAAATATCGACAAAATTAACGTTATATAAAAGGGTAAGTTATTGTTTTAAAAATAGAAAATATAGAAAATAGTGCAGAGTATTTGTGCATACAGTCGAATGCCACTTTGTTGTCTGTCTTTGTCGTTAGTGCCATGAATATTGAATATTTTGTGTGTATACACTGGCACTACTGACACTGTTTACATTTGTCGGTCGTCAGCTGTGGAAATTCATGGGACTTGATTCAATTTGGATTTTTATGGGCGTGCTTGGTTGGATTCCCAAGTTATTGCGGAGAAATAATACTTTTTGTCACTTAATTTTTTATTTTGAATTGTAGCGAGTTAGCAGCGCACCTGTCACAGAAGCAGCGTGCACTGAAAGGTAAGAGCGGAGGGAGAGAGACAGTTGAGAAGCTGTCGTCGTTGGTGTTTTTTCAAGAGACTCAAAATTGATAGAAACAACAAAAAAGCTGCTGCAACTGGTGCCTCTGCCGAGGACCAGCCGCCGCGCAAAAAAGGACGACGTTCAGCAGCAGGGGGTGCCACATCATCAGCAGCAGCAGTAACATTGTCTGAAAATTTCACTGGGTCAAATTTGAGTGGCGATCAGGCCAGTTCATTGTTCTCGGGAGACACTGAAACGGCGACAACTTCAAGAGCCGCCGCAGCTGCACAACAAGAGCGAATACGCAATCAAAATAATCGCGAAAAACAGACAAAAGGTGATTCAGCAAATCAAAAAGCAAACAATAACACCAATAACAAAGAAAACCATCAAGCAACGGAGAACAAACAACTTGGACAGCAGCAACACCTCTGCAATACAGTCAACGATACAGAAAAAAAATCGAGGGTAAATATGGATAATGTTGGAATGATCCCTTCCACATCTGCGGCTATTGAAACCGCATCTGGTGTCAGTAACCATGGAAGTGACTCATCGCCTAACATTACCAATTCAACAACAACTAATGGCCACGATTCTAAACATAATGGGTTCACTGCCAGGGATAACAACAACACGACAGAACCTTCCAATACACGCGACGATCAGAACAACCAGAATGAGGCGAACAATACGATCTCTTGGCTCGGAAAATCAAACCAAGAAATCATAAGACTCATTGGACAATATTTACAGGACTTGGGTCTCGAGAAGTCGGTCAACACATTGATGTCTGAATCCGGTTGCTACTTAGAACATCCATCTGCAACTAAGTTTCGCGAACACGTCCTTTCAGGGGAGTGGAGCAAAGCAGATGCAGATTTAAAGGTAAGCCTTTTACTTATTATTGGATCATGTTAGGTTATTCCCATCATACCATCTGGAGGGGGAAACACGACGTGTCTAACAAACTGAATACGCCACACATAAAAATTGTTAAATGGTTTAAAAATTAACAAGAAATGAGAAGGCTAAACATTATGATTCCAAAACGTGTACAATTTTCACCTGAATACGCCGATTCAATGTTTTTTGGGACTCGGTGTTGAGTTAGACATGTATAAGATGTCCAAATTTTTAGACAGTTAATTTAGTATGAAAAATAATAAATAATTGCTATACAGATCTATGCCGAAAAAGCTCCTAAAAGTCTTCTATATACAGAAAACTTCCGTATGTTGCTAATACAAAGAAGACAATTCAGTGACAAATTATAATTTTAAAAAATGGTATGCCAAAAAGGCGAATTTAAGAAATATAAACTTTAGATATTCAATTCTCAACACAACACGACCCTAAAACTGCTCAGTCATATTGCCATACAAAAATATAATCATTTAAGAACTACGATTCATTGTTATTCCATTAGAAAAACGAAATGAGAATGCGTTATAAATATAAACATTTTCAGGAACTGGAACCGCTTATAGACAATGGGAAACCATCAACCATAACTGAAATGAAATTTATATTATTGGAGCAAAAATACCTGGAAAATCTTGACGATGGTTGTCCTTTGGAAGCTTTGCATGTTTTACGAAATGAACTTACGCCGCTACAACATAACATTTCGAGGGTTCATCAGTTGTCCTCATATATGATGTGTTCAAACAATCACGATCTTTACCAGCGTGCCAAATGGGAAGGTAAGGGAATATTATCCCGAGCCCTTGTAATGGAACGCTTACAGACATATTTGCCTCCCTCTGTAATGATGGCTCCTAGGCGTTTGCGATCCTTACTGCAACAGGCAGTTGAGTTACAGACACAAAATTGCATGTTTCATGATATGGCCTGGGAAACTAATCTGCAAAATGTATCTCTGCTAACGGACCACTGCTGCGCCACCGATGGGTTTCCACTCCAAACAATTCAAATATTATCAGATCATTGCGACGAAGTTTGGTTTTGTAAGTTCTCACCTGATGGCTTGAAGTTGGCTACTGGAAGCAAAGATGGTGCGGTTATAATCTGGGATGTCGATCCCTATAAATTGCAATTGAAGCAACGTCGAGTTCTGGACAGTCAAACCCAAATGAGAGTTGCTTTCATCAATTGGAGCCCCGATTCGAAAATGATATTGGTCGGCGGACCTGAAGACTCTACGGAAATATGCATTTTTAATGTCGATGATGGCCGCCTAATGATGAAAATGGATAACATGAACCAAGAAGATAGCCTATCCTGTGGGGCATTCAATCGTGATGGAACCAGGTTCGTCTGTGGTGGACAAAAGGGGCAGTTCTACCTATGTGATCTCAAGGGTACAGTTCTCGATTCATGGGAAGGGGTGCGGATCAACAGCGTAGCGTACAGATCGGACAATAAAACTATATTAGCTGCAGACAACCACTTTCGGATCCGAGGGTTAGTAAATAATTCACATATAATTAAATGAATCTTATATCCTGATTTTCTTTCCTTTTGTGTAGATACAACTTTGAAAATCCTCGGACAGATTTCGATGTATTGAAGGAATCACACCCAATCATGACTTTTTCGGTTAACTCCGCAGATCGTTTAGCACTGCTGAACATTTCAAATCAAGGTCTGCATTTGTGGGACTTGGAGGATAAATGTCTATTGCGTAGTTTTCAAGGTATTCGTCAAAGCAAATTTGCTATACATTCGTGTTTCGGAGGAGTCAATGAAAGCTTCGTAGCCAGCGGAAGCGAAGACAAACATGTTTGCATTTGGCACATAAAAAGAGAAGAACCATTGGCCAAGCTGTCGGGTCACGCAAAAACAGTTAACTGTGTCTCTTGGAATCCCGTTTATCCCTCCCTATTGGCCTCAGCCAGTGACGACTCGACCGTTCGCATTTGGGGTCCCACATCTACACACAACATAAACGCTACACCCGAGAGTGATGATTGCTCTTCGTGTTCATCTTCTTCGTCGTGGAATATGACCTCCTAGAGCATAACAACGGAGATGTCGGACGTCGTTTTAGTGAAAATATCTGGACCCCTTTTGTCATAAGATATTTAATATTTTTGTTTTTAAGTACTCTATCACGCAAATTATAAAATTGCTTCTAGTTAATTGTGATTTAACTAAATTTATTATCGGTAGAGGACCGGTTTACTGATCGCAGTGAAGTTCATTCGGAGACGTGCTGTATCATCCATCACTATTTTCTTTCGAAATCTTTTAATTTTGTAACAACGAATTAGGTGATTTCGTGTTCCATCGCCTCGACACAACCTCGTGAATTGTGTTAATAATTTGTTGTTGCAGAAATTATTCAGCTTTTTAAAAACACTCTTCTTTTTGAGAATGTGCTAAAGAATTATCGAACCTCTACCGTGAAATACTGTCCTATATCTGCCCAGGACAGTGTAATTTAACGAAACGAAACACAGTTTGCAAGACTGCAGGTTCCTTGGGGTAGGGGAGAGAGAGCCCACGTGAAACTGCACCAATAAAGAGGTCTGCCATCATGTGTAAGGGTATACTTGAGATATTTTACACAATTTGCATATATACCATCAATGTGATTCGAGAATATAGAAGTATAAACTTATATAATATAGAAGTAGTTTGATTTGTTAAGTGATCACATAATTTGAAATATTCTAAGCTGGAACAACATAGGTATATAAGACTTATTTTTAAACCAATCGCTAATAACATACACGTTTATTTTAAAAATATAGAATCCATTCTGAAATCAAAAACGGTACACTCGAAAGTACCTGATATGTTTTATTTATTAATGGCGCTTAAATATCTATGGCAAAATACTGTGTCATCAGATATTCCTTAAGAACATATATAGAAATCACAACCACTGTCGATATCACAGGTCGACACCGACTTACTACAATATACACGGAAACTAGTGCACACAAATGATGAGCTGTTACGAAGAATCGATGAAGCGATGCACCAAACTCTGTAGTGTTCTCCCGCCAGAGCATAATCGGCAATAGGAAGAATTTAGAAAAGTTTGCGAGTGCGTAAGCTTTCATCATCAGGTAGCTACTATCCATCACGCTAAGGCCGGTTGGTTTCGATCCCAAAGTAATATTTGCAATTACCATTAGCATTGTGCAAAGCAAAAATTCTGCAAAGAGGAACGACAATTGGGAAACCCATAGTTAATCTGTTTGAAACTTACCGCCGATTTTATAGGCACAACAATTATAGAATCCATGTTCATATGGTGGTGAATCGTTGTTGGCTATTTTCAACTTTCGCTCGTTTTCCCCCCTCCACAAGGTTAGCGATTCGAGCAATAACAATATCAGCGACAACTTCCAAAACAACTGCAACGAAACAGGTAATATAAAATAAGCCGTTATCTACTGACAATCCCAGCTATCTGAATATGCCAATGTTCAGCGATGTACCTTAAAATCTCGGTTATGGAGTGCATGGCGGTAAGATGAGTGGGATAGCAACATGAAGTCAACAATTGTTATGACAGGTTCGAACTCTATATATTTATCTGCGGTTTTGTGACATTGGTCCTGAAAAGTAATTTCTTATTAAACCATAAATGTTCGTGTCTTAGTCAAATGTTTGCAAACGCTGCATATAAGATTAATATATTCTATAAATCCGGTAATATGTTAAGCCACTGTTCGGTATTGACCCCATTGAAAAATTGTAAGTCCAACTGACGAAACAATTCGAATAGGGTCGTTTCAATGGTTTTCTAAATTCAATAATTTTATTGAATACAATTCAATAATTCCAATAAATGCAATGGATTTGTAACGCATAACATTTACAAATATTCAAATGTTCAATATCTCCAGTTCCATATGAGATATCGGAAATATTAATCAAAATAATGAGATTATAAGCTTATCAAAAACGGTCTGTTAAGGCAACGAATTTATTCAATATGAAACTGGTATCACGTTAGCCGGTCCAGTTGGAATCGTCCCCTAAAATTGTGTAGAAGTTTTCAATTTTGATGTGAAACCAACAAATCAATTATATTAGATTTTCATACTTGTACGTGTATTAATTTATTGCATTACTATACTTACACAGTTAATAGTTTTAATTATTTTATCATACTTCTTGTATAGATTGCTTTGTCTCTTCCCGCAATTTATGCAGACATAGCACTCCATTTCCACTTCCTTCATCGAATTTGTCGAATTTGAAGCAAACGTCATACAGCACACGACGAAGAAACAAATACCCAAGACAGAATTGGAAACTACGAGGCCTCTTAGAAATCCGACGCCGTAAAAGTTAGATGCAATGAGTTGAAAACATCAAAAAATTCAGTGTTCTGGAGATCGAAAACAGAGTTGGTCAAAGGATATACGGCGTTTCCACGGCACTATTTTTTTTTTTTGCTTTGAAATTTGACAAGGTAAATTACAAAAAATGCAGAGCAGGGAATGTTAATTTGAAATGAGGTTACCTTTATTTTAACATGTTTTTTTCGGGTAAAGTCATCGGTTGGGGGCTTTATTTAGACAACGGAACAGGAAATAAACATGGGATACAGTGTGGTATGTTAGCAAAATACAACTCTGCTTCAAGACAATTTTTCTTGTGTTGACGTCAGATTAGGTTCTTCGCTCGAACGTTGCCTCTTGACGTAACATGGCCCTGATTCTGTTAATTTCGATTAAACTTGGAGACTAAAAATTAGCAACTTTGAATAAATTTGTTTACCACGAATATTTTTGATTTTTTTAACTTCATATATAAATGGCCCTTTGGGCTAGGTAACTGTGTTAATTTAATATAAATAAAAAATAAATTATGCTGAAAAGTACATAATCGTATATGATGAGTAATTTTTGTTCACTTCTGTTATATGCCTGACCGTCCTATTCAAAACTAATAAACGAATATAAGGATCGTTTACGTTCATGCATAAAACGTTGCAAAATCTTAGGACTGATATATTTTTCATATTGTTATTTATTATATTTTTTATATATAAATATATAGAATAATTCGCTGATAATTTTTGTTATGTATTTAGTTTTTTAGATTAATCTAGTTATAGGATGTTTTTATATTGTTGTATGTTAATATAAGTTTTTGGCCATGTTGGCTTATATATATTGAATTGTATGAATAATAATGAACCACCCTAACAATGTGCCTTATTTCTTGCATTTTGAAAATAGCAATAAGAATAGAATAGATAACTTCGTATTGAATTGGTAAAAGGGTAGCAGTTATATTAAACCTAATCATTGATAAGAACAACATTGATAAGCGCTACTGGTGTTCACATTATCATTAATATTTTTGGCCATTTTACGAAGACATACGTAAATATCAACATTAGTAAATCAATACTTAGTGTTTATGACGGACTGTTTGTCGTTATTTGTCATGTTCATATAAAAGAAAACAACTTTTCTTTCGGACTTCGTACAAGAAAGAATGGACATTTTGTTTAATCTCATCCTTGCTATCCTTTTTCTTTTTGAACTTATTGGAGATTGCTGTGTTTTTGGACTTGAGCATAATAGTTCCAGCATACTTGTTCAAAGTGACGCAGATCCATTTACGGTGGGGAGTTCATACGAAGAGTTCCATGTAGATCACACCTCAGGATATGAAGTCGAAATAGTGGAAAATCCACCTGAGACAAATCTGAACATTCTTTACAACTTTGAGCCAATAATTTCAAAACTTAACCATGATTATAGCTATACGTGCTTACTGGACGAATTTAAAAACACTTTGCTGTGGTGGACTTTTCCCAATGGAACACTTAAAAATAAGAGTTATATGCTTGCATGTATGTTGATTCCATGTTATTCGAATTTACAAACATGTATATAATTGGTGATAATTTTAGCGGCAATTAAATATCTGGATTTATCGCATCAACAAACATTCAGTGATGAGGAATTGTTAAAAAAGATCGGTACATTTGGTGTACCTGATGTACATGTTTCCGTTTTCTCAGCAGCCCATAATAACTTGTCCCACGTTCCATATAACGCATTGACTGTCATGTCCTTAGATCTGAAATTTCTTACACTAAGCGGCAATAACTTTAATGTTATGGTACCCGACTACGGAGGAAACGGTAAGTTTGTTAAACACAACTTGGGTGTAATCGAAACGGCAGCATTTTTAATGGGGTTAATTAACCAACATACTATAGGTTGCCTGATTTCTGTCCAATATGCTTTAAACCCTGTCATCGTTTTCATTATTTCTCTGTTATTCCACTATAGGAAAAGAAACCATTACATGGGCAACATTCCCGATTTTACCTACACTAAAAGAGCTGGATATAAGTAATTGCAAAATTCAACATTTAACGAGAGAATCTTTTCGAAATTTAACCAGCCTGACAAGGCTCTACATGTCCAACAATAAAATCCTAGAATTGCAATCCGATGTATTCCTACACGCCTCGTTGTTGCAGTATTTGGATTTATCTTTTATGAATGTCTTTGATTACACGTCTATTCCAACACAAACACTTAATACCCTTTATAGGCAATTATACGGACTCAAAATACAGCAACTGACATTTAAACATGTGCCTAACCTTAAGTATTTAGATTTTTCACACACGAAGTTATCTAAAAACAGTGCTGTCGCTTTCACCCATCTCGGCAACAGTTTAAAATATCTCAGTCTATGTTACACCGCATTCCCCATGATTGGCAATGCTTTGTTAAGGAATACGGCACTTGTTGCCTTGGACATGTCAGGAAATTCTTTAGCTGCATATAATATAATCGATGATGCATTTGAAGGTGTCTCGGAGACGTTGAGTGTGCTCTTTTTTGAATTATCAAACTTGAAAAATATATCTTGGGTCCGTAACCTTAGTAACCTGCGGATACTAGGATTGGCCAATAATAATATAAATTCAATAACATTTGAAACATTCACTAATTTAACAAACCTAGAAGTGCTCGATCTCAACACAAATCACATAGGCAATTGGTATAGTCGAGTTTTCACTAATAACGAAAAACTTCGTGTCCTTAACCTCAGAGACAATAATATCAATATTATTACTTCAGAAATGCTTAAAGATTTTAGTTTATTAAATTTTTTGAGTCTTGGCGACAATAACTTTGTGTGTGACTGTCTATTAAGGGATTTGGTTGATGTTAGCAATTCAAATAATAGAAACTTGGAATGCGCTCACGAAATAATCCAGGAAGCTCTGGAGTATACATGCGAAAAACTCTCTGAGAACAAAACAGTGGCCGATGTAGTAGCTTCACATACACTGAAAAGATTAAACAACAGAAGAAAAGGCGCATATCCTGTACAAAACATGAATCTGTCAGCAGCTTTTAGAAAACTTCGATTTCACTTCAATATGTCTGGGATGTATCCAAAAACGTGTTCCTCTGTTAATCCTCAAGCAAGCCCGGTAATGATGAATAAGCTTAACGAATCGACAATGTTGAAGTTGCAGCTTTTAGATTATGAAGATGCTCGTTATTGGTGCTTTAACGAAACGGAAAAATTGGGCTTTTTCGATCTGAACTGCCACCAACGGTCTCTTGTCGAAGATATAGTTCATCAACTTGATAACCTCACTTATTACGTTGTTGTGATCGTCGGAACATTACTGGCTGTTACTGTGGTCGGTGTAATCATTTATGTAAAGCGTTGGCACATATACTATTACTATTCTTCCATTAAATCCGCTGCTTTGATGTCAGAGGCTGTAAAAGAGAACGATGAGAGCCTTCGGTCCTCCCACGAAAATGGAGGCGTAAACATGATATACGACATATTTATTAGTTACTGCCAAAGTGATCGCGACTGGGTGCTCACTGAACTAATGCCAAATGTTGAAGATAATGGTGATATTAAGATTTGCCTGCATGAACGGGACTTTCAGGTAATGTATGTTTTTTGATATCGCATTACGCTATAACTAACTCAAGGGCTCAAATTTTAACTTTGCTTTGAGACCTAATGCTTACAATACAACAAAACCTTAATTTATAACTCTTTAAGATCGGCGTTACAATTCTGGATAACATAATATCATGTATGGATAGGTCCCGTTCGTTAATGCTCATAATATCATCTTCATTCCTTCTTAGCCACTGGTGCCAGTTCGAAATGCACTTGGCACAGCGAAGGTAAATTGAGTTAGTAAAATATTTATTTTTGCATAATTTTATTGCCATTTCCAGGATGTTTGATGTGTGTAGAGATTGTTTGATTCTTGTCTTTTTGGAAGAAATACCAAGACATAAAAGACCGAAAAATTTGCAGTACCTAATGGATGTAAAGACATATATAAAGTGGCCAGGAGGTAAAAATAATAACAAATCCCGCCCAGAAGAATGCAGAATTTTCTGGAAGCGGTTAAAACGTTCAATGCAAAGAATTGCTTCTGATGGTGTTCAATAATGGAATTCGGTAAACAAGTAATACGATGCGATAACTTTCTAGTATATCTATGTGTTGTACTTAAATAAATGCGTGTCCATATACACCATCTTACCAAAATATGTACTGTTGCATAACCGTATTTCCAAAATTCACAAGGTCCTTATATCCATTAAATAAATGTGTTACGTAAGTTACACACCGTCTTGCAGCAAAACAGTTTGAAATAAATAAATTCAGTTTTCACACAAATAAAAAAGCAAAAATACGGAGGGTTAAAGGTACAAATGTTCAACTTTAGTAAAGCCATGCCGGACTTCATATATTTATATTGTACAATGGCTAAAATAGTGCAACCACACATTTATTTAAGTATAGCCTTAGTATTTTTAAAAATAAAAATAATATAAAAGAGTGCGAGTAAATCCCAATATTTCGTTATATCTTTAAATGTTTATATGCACAGCAATATATTTTTAGGAAGAATGTACCTGATGTCCTCTCAATTCTTATTCGAGAAAAACTTAATAGTCAAAGTAAATAATATTCAATTTTACGGAAATACTTGTTTTTATATTGTGTTGTGACTATGTTAGTGCAGACCAGCATTCATTTAAGTATAAGTATAATATAAAAACTAGTTTATTTTAATTCCAGCAATATTATTATCCAGAATGTACCTGATATCTTCATAAATCTTATGCGAGAAAATCTTATTGCACATAGATTTAAACTTTTATGTTTATTTGTAGTTGAAAATGATGTTATAAATAAATTGGCAATAGCAATTTATAACGTAGACTGACTCCAAAAATGCCTAGTTGCACCTTAAAACGTTCACGTGGAAGAACATTACGAATTTTGAGATGTTAGAAAATGTCTGATAAGTTCGTGGATAAAAAACAAATGTGTAGGCCAAAACAATCACAGAAGAAATGACTACTACTGAAACTACTGACTACTGTTAAAACAGTAACCTTCTTTTGAAAGCTTTGCACACCAGCTTATTTTTATTGTGTTCCCGTACATTTTAAGTGTTAAAACTAGTAAAATAGCTGATGACTTATACCAGAAATATTTATAACCTTTAGACATGTAAAACACTGCCAGGATATTCAGCCTCAATAAATCCTCCACCATTATAATTCTTCCAAAGTAATCCATAGCAGGTGAGTTCGATATATACCTTATAGGCCAAACACAGTCATTACTTTGCCTTATTTTCTACCTTTGGAAATGTCATACGATAAAAGAATGTGTTGGCTCTATTCAAGATACAATCATATGATCAAATTTGAAAACCATTACTCTATAGCTGGTGTCTTGCAAATTCAAGTAAATATGACTATGGACGGTATAATAAAATGTATTGTGATTTGTCAATTCTCACGGTTAGATGTGAGAATATATAGAATGATTTTTTTCTGTCGTGGGAAATCGACTGGATTTTCCCAAAAACACAAAGGAGTTTTAGATTGACTTAGTTCAATTTCGGCCCAAAGTTTCACTAGATCACCCTTTGTTCTTTTAAGAAAGAAAGCTGATAGTTATACAGAAAAAAAATCCATTATTTGTTTCTGTTAGAAACCATTAGTAGAGCAATATGATGTGTTCAGTAATATTTACCCGGCGTGTTCTTTTTAAATAGTACGAACATGAACCTGGTCCAAACTTATCTTAAAACGCCTAATTAAAACAGATCGAAAGAGCAAAATCTTACTGGTCATTTGTTTCCCAGTGACACACAATATAAGATAACATCGAATTGTTCATGGTAGAAGAATATAGGTAGATGCATTAACGCATAGGAACATTGATATGTCAACATTTTAAAAATGTTTTGTCAAAAATAAGTAGTTTGTATGTGTTTTCTTATATGGCGCAAATAGGAGGTTGACATAATATGTATTTTTCAACAATTTTTACAAACTTCAATAATTTTTCATTTAACATTTTCAATTTCAAAATCAGTTTGACAGCTCTTTGTCCCAGCAGCTGTGTCGATGCGACTACCTTTTATTTTATTCTTCTACCATGGAATTGTTTCAAAATATTTAGTGTTCAGACAGGGTTATACTTTACTATTTTTGTAAGTTTTACAATTTTTTAATACTTTAGCAAAGCAATTGCCAATTTTTTCGTCACCTGTCAGATATTTTCTTCGGCGATCTGGAGAGACCTACTTTCTTCGAGTGCAACACTGCCTTTACACGGTGACATTTTTTAACCATGCCATTTTTTTTTGTTGGTAAAAGGTGTAGAGAGACAAGGATAGAAGAAAAAATGGCACGATAAGCCACCGCACAGGGTTACATGCCATTTTCTTTGCATTTCTCTTTTTGCTTCTTCCGAATTTTTTATGATTTTGACATTTCATATCGTTTCTCTATTGTAATTTTTGATGCGTTTCTTTTTTTGTGATGTTATGTTTTTAGTGATTGAATTGTATAGTGAATTATATGAAAATTAATTGGAAGTATTAAAAAGTAAAAAAAGAAAGTTAAAATAAAAGTTAATAATGCAATATTTAACACCTCTATAACTTTTTCCATCATTTCTTCTTTAGATTCACACATTTAATTTTAAATCACTTCTTTATAAATATCTGTTACAAACAATTAGCTCTATACGAAATACTGAATAAAATAAAATGTCAGAAAAAATGCCAAGTACTATTATCGTAAAATGCCACCGTGTAAAGGCGCGAAGATTTACGCAGAAATTTTAAAAGATAATTGATAAAAATGCCAGCTAAAAATTGCACCGTGTAAAGGCAGTGCAAATCAGAAAGAAATTCAACTTTTCACTCGTTATTCCCAACAACAAATCTTCGAGTGGAAAGGAGAAAGAAATAAAACTATGTCTTATTCTTTGTTAATTCCACCCCTTTTCGATCTATTGTTTTGATTTTCATCTTCATTACACATTCCGCTTTGGCATCATTTTCTCTTCGTATCGTTTTCGATTTATTTCTTTTAAGAGGGAGAACAGACAAAATTGCCTGGAATAAACAAACGAGACAGGACGCTATAAAAATGTCTACTCCCAGAAAAAATAAAAATTATAATTGCTACACATCGCCCTATTCAAAGCCCATTCAACAGTATGCATCCCAAAACGACGAATACATATCATTGGAAATGGGAGGGCGATGTCAAGAAGGTAGAGATGTCACAAACAGTGGAATTTATGGAAAGAAACCTAACCAACGACGAGCGAATTACTCAAGTGGGCACTACCAGAACAACAATTTAAAGAGTGGGAGTGGGCAAAAGTCGTGGTTCACCCCAAGAAAAAATGCAGAAATTGGTAACTCCCAGGTACGTATATGATCATAACTATATGGAAAACGAATATTTATTTATCTAGTTTTAAACAGAGCCACACTTCGTCCATTTCTTTATACCTACATCCATCAATGACGGAAGACCCTTGGTCAGATTTATTGGCACGTCTAGAATGTCTTAATAAAAGTGAAATTACCTTAAAATCTCAGACGAAAGTGGAGGAGACAGTTGATGAAGGAGATAAAGATGAGCTGATTGTTCAATAGCAATAAATATGGGGTGGAACAATATCTTAGGATGTATATCCTAACAAGACCCTTATATTAAGTTACATATTTTTAGAAATACAACTAGATATTATGAATATAAGCACATTATTGTGTTAACTATATAAAAATTCTATTTTTAGTAATTTGAACAAGAGCAACACATGAAAAATATTGTCACCAATGAATGAAAAAGAAAAAAAATAGAAAATTGCCTTATTATATTTTGCAGGTTCAGTAAGGCCGATGGCCTATTCTATCTAATTTAAAAGATTTGCAGTTCTTCGCATATGGAAGTAGTGGAAAGTAGTAGGCAATAAAAAAAGATGATCATAGATGTACTCTGGGCCAGTTTACGCCTTTTGGAAATACAATCAAATGAAACTGCAACACATGAAAAATATTGTAAACTTTTCATTTAATCATCAATGAATGAAACAGAAGAAATATATAAAATTGCATTGCTATGTTCCACAGCTTTAGAACGGTCGATGCTCTATTTTATCTAATTACAAAGAGTTCCAGTTCTTCACATATGGAAGTAGTGGAAACAGTTGGCAATAAAAATAAAGATGATCATAGAAGTACTCTGGGCAAGTTTACGCCTTTTAAAAATACAATCCAATGTTATAAATGGGAGTCTATCATTTTGTTGACACAAAATTCTATATTAAACAATTTGAATAAATGCAACATCACAACTTATGTATGAAATGACGAATTATTAAATGATATTGTTTTGTTTTTTTTTCCACAGCTTTAGTAAGGCCGATGACAGAGTACCGTAGCATTGAAAAATGAAGTGCTCTTTAATATTACAATTTCCTGTGTTGGTGTCTCCTTAGATATGCTTCCCAGTCTTTACTTAAACGGTTGTATATATGCATTGCAGCACGAGCATCTTCGACAGAGTTGTGTTCACCAGTCTGTATTTCTTGTCCCAAAATTGCTTGGCTCAGCCGTTTAAGGCTTGGTGTCCGACCATTTGCAACTAAGCGACATAACGGCTTGTACCTAGCAGTGTCCCGAATATTCGAAAATGGATGTTTAATGTGCAAAACTGACAAATCATTTCGGATCGCATGGCCAACAAGTATTTTACCTAAATACAGAATTTGTTATTAGATCGTGATCGTATACAAGAAATAACATTTACAGCATACCTTGCAAAATTTTTACCACTTCATTCTGCACATCCTTAAACTCTTCCCCGTTCTCTATATCATGAGGTCGAATGCCAGAAATACTTGTTCTATAGTCAGTCACGGCTTCCTGTGGCTTTACGAATTTGTCAATTATAATTTCACCGTTTTTATTGACAATTGAGACCCTGGCAAGCATATCTTCTTGACCGTTGAAACCAACTCCAACCATTTCGCAGTCCATAGCTACATATTTATTCCATTGATTTGTTTTTCTCTTTTGCCGTAGACGTGCCGACTTACTGAGACCAGCTGGTGGCTGGACTTTTTCGTCGTCCTCATTTTTTCCTCCACACACATCCTGTTCACTGCCGCTTGCAGACGTAGTCCGGATTTGTCGCATCGCCTCCCAATTTGAGCCAGCTGCACTTCGACTAACATTTACGTTCTGTACGTTGTTATTCTGTACTTGGAGCCTTTCCATGGACGTATGCAGGGGCTTCGTTTGTTCCTCTTTTTTATCGTCTAAACTTACATTTTCCGACTCAGAAGACATTTTCTTTCTATTTCTTCTCTTTTTTCGTTTGGGAACAACCTGATCCTGACAACCTGACATGCTTAATTTGTTATTATTCCTGTTTTTCAGGGTACGTTTCAGTTGATGTTGATTGGAGGTGGCACGGTTCGTCGTGTTTCTTTCTGCAAAACGAGAAAGCGCGTGTCACCCAACGAAACAAATATGATGGCAAACAGGTAATGCCCGATGAAAAATAAACCGAAAGCAAAATCCCCGAGAAGTCCGTTGTTTACGAATGAGTGTAATGCATGATTTCGAGAACTCTGTTGTTTAAATGAACCGAGGAACTAGTTGTCAGTTCCTTAAAACACGAAAGGCGAGTCTTTTTTTCTAAATTGAGGTATACAAAGCGAAGTGATGACATAGATAATTATTGAGCATAATGTCATGTCATATGACAAAACATAAGGCTTTAGCGCAGCCTCAACTATCTCAACTATGAAATCACAGCAATTACCATCTGTATCATGATAGAAGAATATGGGTAGTCGCATCGACACAGCTGCTGAGATAATATACACTCTCAACCCGTTTTTGGAGTTGAAAATGTTGAATGAAAAATAATTGGAATTGGTAAAAATTGTTAAAAAAAATGTTCATAAGAACAGCCTTGAATTTGCGTCGTATAAAAACATATAACATTTAAAAAATTTTGGCATATCAAATTTCCCAAGCGTTGATGCATCTGTCTTTAGTCTTATACCATGATCTGTATGAAAAATAATGGCAAATAAACTAATACATCACACATAAGGGAGATGTTTACCTGCAAAAATCTACAAGTTTTGCAATTTTTTCGAGACCATAAATGGAATATCTGTTATCGTGGTAAAAACTTTAACATTCTTGCAGTTCTGGATCAAATCATATATACTTTGTAATCCAGGCACTGATTTTGAATAAAGATTGTAAAGTATAATCATTAATATCCTGATTCGGAGTCTAGTTTAAGACGTCCACTGGTAATATACAAATGATTAGGTCCAGGGTGTATGTTTTCCAATTCGTGAATTAGCTCATTTGTAGTACACAACGTTGTTTTTAAATACTATTACTATGTATGAAATATAAATAAAAACCATTAGAGTGATCTGTGAATACTAAAACATAATGGAGGATTATAAATTTAGATTTAATGTTTAGCTGCTTTCATTATTTTGAACATGCTAATTGCAATAATTTCAGCTTTGTTACACATATCAATATATTTTTTAATTCCTTTATGTAAGAATTAAAATGTGCTTATGTTTTTTTTTTTTTTACAAAAGATTTGATAATCTACTGTAGTTTTTATTTTTTATTTTATTTTTTTAATTTTCCACGACCTCAATGTGAATATAGCAATTGGAAATATATAATAAATCACTTTTCTTGCAGGAGTAAATAATTTACAGTTTGCTTCTGGCTCCTTTGGCTTTTATATTCAAAAAAGGAGACATCAGTGGAAATAGTTCTTTGCTGGATTTGAATGCAACAACGTCCGAAATTTTAGCATGACGTTTCAATATGTGCTCAACAACTTCTTCGTCTTGCGTTGTTTGTGTCGACACTATGTGAACGGCAAGAACTCTTCGGTCCACGCTATCCGGAGCAATGAATGACTGAAAAAACAATTGATTTTTTTTTTTTTTTTTTGTTATTAAAAGTGTTTTAAAACATACGTTATAGCATTGTAGCAATTCGTCCTTCGTGATGTTACGCAGAATTGCCACTTCAGCTTCATTCCTATCAAAATGGTATTGAGCCAAAGAAATTTCAGAGTAAAACTGTACAAATTGAGAAAAAACGGTTTTCGGTTTTTCAAGTTTCTTTACAGCCAATGCTTCCTTATGTCGCTCGAACTCTTCATCGGACATTTCTTCTATTACATTCTGTAAAAAGCACAGTTATTTTATGCATTCATTTTTACATTTTACGTCTACCTTAAAGTTTGCCAAAAAGGACTCTATACGCTCTTCTACAAATGTTGGGTGTTTTGTAGACTGGACAATAATTCTGATACCGTTTGCACCATTTACTCGCCTTGGCCCGCTGAAAACAATGTACCCTAATTGTTCCTATTTAAAACGAAAGTAGATTACATACATCTTTTCGCCATTTATATGTTACACTGACCTTAGTTCGCAAGCAATCATAGCATGGTTCTGTCAATATCTGCGAAATAAGATTCACCATGTTGTTGCTTCGGTCAGTTTGAGGACCACATTGTAGATATATTTGTGTACAAGAACTCTTATGGTACAGATTGTCCTTTTCAAATAGATAACTATCACCTAAAATTCAAAAATTTACAAATCATCACCGTGATACAACATAACTTACCTGGACACAATTTATATTCTCTTTTAGGAAGCATTTGTCTAGCCAACAAAGGCAACACCTTTGCATTTGTATCTTCCAAACGTTTGTTAACCAAACCTGCTATTTCGAGGGCCTTTTTTTTTGCAACGTTGCCATAAATAAAACACTCGGTGTGTAGGCGGGAAAAGAATTCCTTGGCGTATGTAAGGACCCGCTCATATGTTGCTACTATTAATAGAACAGGAAATTTGAAAAGCTTTTCATATTATAAGTAATCTACTTACGTTCAACGGCGTCCAGCAGTTCATAGTTTGACCAAACGTTTTCTGTTAGCAAGAGGGTTAAGTAGTACATTGAGTGCTGATATGGTTGCTCGGCACTAAAATTCTTCAAATTCCGCTTGTATTCCTCTTTAAGGATATTGAAGCGTTTCTCATTTGCTTGGAAGTCAAATAAATGCTTAAGAAGGTATTCTAAAAGCACCACCTGTTTATCGTTGTAACCTCGAATAGTGACCTAAATAAAATAAATAATCATAAACTACTTAAAAAAATCTGTAAAAAAACTCACTTCAATTCCATTAGACTTATTTCCCACTTGTAATTTCAAGTCGGCTAACTCCGCGTCGTAGAGATATTCATTTAATTGGTCCCTTATAAGAGACACCATAAGATAATTTAAATTACAATTGAGGGGATCCAGATAAGCAATGGGATTTGACATGTCAAACGACATGCATGCTTTCGGCTTGAGGTAAACATTATCCTGCTTGTGCCACACACGCAAAATAGGCGTATCCATAATTATGATTGGATGTTTCGACAGGTCTTTATCGAAAGGTTCCAGTTCATAATCTTCCGGAATGAAAGCATTTGGCTGTGGCAATGCTAAATGTGGATTCAACTCACATGTCTCCCATTTCTGTTTTCAAATACATAAGTTAAGGCATTCATAAAATGTAGTTGTTTTAATTCATCACCTTTATCGTTTCGCTTTCTATTTTGAGAGTTGCATACTTTGTTTGGTAATAGGGTTCCGCTAAAACTGCTTGGTCTTCGTAGCTCTGTCCAATAACAATTACTCTACATTTCGACGGGACAAGTTCATCTAGTAATTTCGTAATTAGGTCTGGCTTCCATTCATCACTGAGATAAGGGGCTGTGAGAACCTCTTCCAATGGATAAACCTTAAAGTTTGAGTTGTCATTTAATAGTTTTCATAGTAAGCAAGCAGTACGTAGGTCTTAATAGTTTACCTGCATGCAAGTCACAACGTTTGTGACCAACTTTTCAGGTTTCTCCTTCTCTTTGAATCCAAAACGCATGCTGTTGATTTTAGCACACTCGTCAAAAATCCATTTCTGAGGTCCAATTTCTCGAAGCATTTTCAAATATTGGAAAACAATATTAATTATATCATCAACGTGATTTGCCCCCTCCGTTGTAAGTGTAATGTGAATTTCAAAAAAGCCAAAACCATGTAGGATGTTCTGATGGCCCGCAAGAAGATCATTGGACCAACCCAATCTACGCAATTCCGACAATATACTCCCTTTGCCTTCGTGGCCAAGCAAGTGAGTCAAGTAACTATCTGGGGCGGTTTTGTAAAGCCTTGTCAGATCGTCTGTTGTAAAGCTGATAGTTAATGAACGCAAGTCCTTTACAGGTACTATCAATACTCGTTGACCATATTGATTATCATCATAAGGCTCCCTGGGCCAAGTTGGCACATCCACATTTTTATTTTCGATTTCAGAGAACTTCTTTAGCACCATTTGTTCAAGCTCGTCAAGGTTATCTAAAATTACAAAAGCAACAAAAATTAAAAATACAAAAGTACATAATTTCGTGCATCACCTTTTCCAATAACAGCCAAACTCATTATATTCGCCGAATACCACTGTTTATGAAATTTGAGTAGTTCATCCCTTACTTCTATGTTTTTCTGCTTCGGAATCTCACACAGAGTGGCTTTGCTTCCACTTCCGAACTTCTTATATGCATGTCCTTCCTTTGCTAAATGCTTATGTACTTGTTTAATACGCCACTCATCGTTGGGCAAATTCTTTTCATGTTCTGAATTGACCTGTTGAAGATGACAGGTGTCATAGCCACCGCAATACATAACAGTTTCTCTTACTCACCGCATTGATTTCGCGCTCGGTCGCACTTGGTGTAAATAACGGAGCTATAAAAAACTGTGCAAACCTATCAAGTGCCCCGTCAAGTTTATCTGGTGCTACGTAGAAATGGTACTTAGTCATTAGAGGATATGTGGCTGCATTGGACGAACCCCCGCTTTGAGACAGATACGTTGTGTAATCGTTTTCATTAGGATACTTTTCAGTACCTAGAAACAGCATGTGTTCGCAAAAGTGGGCTAACCCAGGCAAACTTTCTGGGTCCGACATGTGTCTACAACAACAACATAGAAAGAGACAATTTTAAAGCTACTCATATATGTATAAAAATAAATACAATTGCCTGCAAAGTCGTCGGAATATTATTCTGTATTTCCCAATGCGTAGTTATGTTATTATTTTTTACTTCTTTGCCTCATTTGCAAAATATTAAGAGCCAGTAAGACATCTGGTGTATTTTAAAATACCAAATAGGTTTTCTGTCTTATTTTTGCCCGATCGCCCAATACCCATGATGCTACACTATGCACCTTTTTGTACTTTTAGTGCGCTTACAGTACGAACTTCCCAAGCCCCTGATGTGTAGACCTAAGCTACAACTGCGTAATATTTTATAAACTTAAAGCATCATAACAAAGCCACGTATACAAATTCTCCAACAGCACATCCTTTTCACACACACAAATAAACAAACAATAGCCAGTCTAGCTTCTGTCCTTTGGTCGGGACATAAACACTCACTTAATTATGTAAATATACCTAAGATTTTAATGATTTGCCAACATACCCCACTTGTACAGCTAATGCAGCAGCTGAGACATCCGTTGTTGGATCACTAACAAGCAACACTTTGAGACCATTCTCCAACTGCAAACCCCTGTAATCTCTGTTGTCTTGTTCACTTTTCTCTATGTTTTCTAGCCTATGTACAAAATAATTAACATTAATTGCAATACAAATAGTTTTGTTATATTGGGTACCTCATGATCGGCAAATTCTTCAGTGGACTACCTGACAACGCGTCTGGGGATGAAACAGAACTGGACATATTTCTCACACAGTTTTCAAACGAATAGCTGTATGATGATGACACCACCGATGACACCACAACGAATGAAGCAGCCGGTTGAAATGCAGATAAAGGGAAAACAATTCGATTGCTCACTTGCTCTTTCGTATTAGAAATTTTTGGAAGATCCAAAACTCACATGAAATTCCTTGTTGATAATTGGCGACGTAGGGGAGATACAAAATGTCTAATAAACATTAATATATTAAACTTATTCTCTCAATTTACACATTCAATGCAACCAAAAAATGAAATTGTATAATACGTTTTGCCTTTTTGACATTTATTGCTTTTTGTTTTGTTTAATTTGTTTATACAGTTTTAGCTTGCGTACTGGTTTAGTGCAATGAACGAAGTTAGTGGGTCTGTTCATATACCTGTACTTGCAGTAAAAATTCAAACAATACCGAGGTTTACAAAATGCTTGGTTTGACGGTGTATTCCCATAGAAATATCTGTAGTGATACCTTTAACAAATGATTGCGCCGGAGAAACGTTATACTTCTGTTTTTTACATATTTTCTGACATTTATTGTCTAGAGTTAAGATTCAGAGGGATTTCGAAAAAAACTTCATTAACCGAATGAAAAATTGCAACTGTCACCGAACGAAACATCAAATTTAAAGTGGCGCAAATAGGAAAAATATGAAGGTATTGCCGCAGATCTACCTGCGGATTATTAGTTTCATCAGTTTTATCTATCAGATTGTACCCGATTTCTTTCAATATATATATATATTTTTTTTTAATTAGAAGGATATTCCATAGAGACAAACAATATTTAATGCGTCGTATACGTGCCACCAACATTCACAAAGCAATGATAGAATTTTCGTTATTTCTTTGTTTCGTCGGAAAAAAGAAGGAGAAAAATCAATAAAACACGAAAGTTTAACCAAAACGAATAAAGAAAGCTGAGAAAACAAAAAGACGGCTCGGTTCTGTTCTTTATTGGGTTTAGTTAATAGTATTTTCTGCGAAATCTTGTTTTTAAGCTTTAATCCTACGATATCTCCACAACGTAAGTATAATATTTTTCCAATATATAAAATGGTAGTTAAGATATTAAAAATCATTGTAAATTGCAACAGAAATGAGTCCATTCACACACGCACACACACACATATATATATATATATATATATACTTTTGTCAGGTGCTGCTTTCGATTTCTTTCTTACATTTCTGATTGCAAAAATTACATTCACTTTCAAATGCCGATACAAGATTAAAATAAAATATTAGAAATCAATTGAACACTTCTTTAACGATTGTGTGTGGCGTATTGTGGACTTTTGTCCTCATCAAATGTGCTATTTGCATCGATCCTAGTGAACACACATAAATAATTAATGATAACTTCCACGGTTGTCAAATGTTAGAAGAGCTCTTTGAGATGTCGAGACTCAGTTCTCGAATGTTTTTGTATTTTCAGTCGGTGATAACTCTTTTGGACGAATGCTACCATTTGGATCGTTGTACCATATAAGAATCCGAGGAATCCCGAAGTAAATGGAAACATGGATAACGAGCAACCACATCAGGAACTGGTCAAATGTGTACTTGTTGGTGACACTGCTGTAGGAAAAACACGCCTAATTTGTGCGCGAGCTTGTAATAAGCATGTATCGCTTTCTCAACTCTTGTCGACACACGTTCCCACAGTGTGGGCGATTGATCAGTACCGCATTTACAAAGATGTCCTTGAGAGATCGTGGGAGGTTGTGGATGGCGTGAACGTTTCATTGCGGCTTTGGGATACATTTGGAGATCACGATAAAGATAGGCGATTCGCTTATGGACGGTAAATTAGTATTGTTCGGGGCAACTGCCATTCTAATAAAATGTAAATTAATTTCAGCTCGGACGTCGTACTTTTATGCTTCTCTATAGCTAGCCCTATTTCGCTTCGCAATTGTAAAGCTATGTGGTATCCAGAAATTCGGCGATTTTGCCCTGATGTTCCCGTAATATTGGTAGGATGTAAAAATGACTTACGGTATATGTACCGCGATGAGACTTATTTGTCTTATTTTGGTGAGAGGAGCACCTTTGTAAGGTAAATGAAACATGACTTTTCTCAGAGATATTTAAACAATTTGCTTTTGCTTTTTTAAGAGCTGCTCTGAAAAGCGATTTAGTAATGCCTGACGAAGCTCGTGCCGTGGCAAGGGAGTTGGGCGTTTCTTATTATGAAACTAGTGTCTTTACATATTTCGGAGTAAATGAAGTGTTCGAAAACGCAATTAGATCCGCATTAATTGCTCGACGACAGCAACGATTCTGGATGACAAATCTAAAAAAGGTACAGAAACCCTTATTACAGGCTCCGTTTAGACCACCTAAGCCGCCGCCACCAGAAGTAACAGTAGTCGTTGGAAACTATCGTCAAGATATGTACAATATGTTTCTGGCACAGACTTACACCGATCTCATACTAATAGTGGGTAACACGAAATTTTCTGTGCACAAGTTTATGGTTGCCGCAGCTTCCAATCTTTTCAATCGATTGTTAAGCATTGACATTTCTGATATGGGTGGCCGAAGTAGCAGCGAATCTAGTATGGTGAGTTAGACTGTGTATTTGTAATGTTTGTATTTGTAAATTTTAACATTTTCACAGGTTAGTTCCACTTTTGGAGAAGCTACAACTGCGGATTTTAACGACGATACCGAGTGTTTGATTCGAAACGAGTCGCGCGCACAAAGGTAAATTCAAAATAATGTGAATGATTACTATTTTAATACAAACTTGCAAGTAGGTTACATTTTCCAAATAATAATGAGTCTTAGATTTACAATATGAATGTATTCTGGAGCTTTTGTTTCCTCCTACACATTCACGGTAGCCTTCATGAAGATCGTGGAAGAGTTACATTATTTTCTCTGTTTCCTAATATTTCATTTGTCCCAGCAGAATGTGGGAACAAATAAAGCGTCGATCTAGCTATCAGGCACTGCCTCTGATTGAAGCTAAACGCCCAACTGAGCTTTACAAGGATTTACATCATCCAGTGTTCCAAAATATACGAGTCGTTCAAATAGATAATAACAATGGAATCCAAACTAACCAGACCATTTTAACGCTTACAAAATTGATTACTACACAGGCGTTACATCAATGCCTAAAGTTTATATACACCGGCACAATAGATTTATATAGTGTAGAGGTACTGACCTTTTCCATTATAATGTGCAAAAACATTTTTTACACATTGAACTTCTTGTGTGTTTAGGATATAAAACAGGCAGCAGAACTATTAGAGTTGTCACAATTAACCAATTTCCTGTCGAAGCCTCCAAATGCCTTGACTGGCGAAGAACCAAACTCACATGTCTGTTTGGTAATTATTCTGTCCGATAGCATGTGTTTTCGTAAGAATAATTAAGCGTGTTTTTAAAACTACTCTCTTAAGGTATTAAAAGAAAACATGGAAAAGCACTGTTCGGGCGATGGTCTGTTTACAGATATTACGTTTGAGTTGGACGAGGGGCAAATGAAAGCACACAGAGCTGTTCTAGTTTCTCGTTGCGATGTGATGAGGGCAATGCTAGCGGGAGATTTTCGCGAAGCCCATTCGAGTGTGGTAAGCGAAGACCCATACAAATAAACGACACTTGCAAACCGTTTCTCTCTCATTACAGATCATTTTTCCCGGTGTAACACTATATACATTCCATAAATTACTCTGCTATTTATATACCGATGAAATACCGCATATCTCTGCTGTGAAATGTCTTAATCTGTTGGAATTAGCCAATCGACTGTGCCTGCCCCGTTTATTAAATTTGGTGGAATGTCGTGTTATCGAGGACTTGACGATGATTTCTCAAAATGAAACAAATCAAACAGTCGATCATTGCTTAAAACTGTTGGAGCCAGTAAAGGTATTAGATTCCAAGCTAATTCGATTTGCAAGTAGTGGGTTTGTTTCCAACAAAGTTTTTGTTTGCTTATAGCTTCATAACGCACACCAACTGGCGGAGTGGTGCATGTCATATTTGTGTGTAAACTACAATATTATTTGCAAGTATTCAATTAAAGGACTCCGAGCTCTGCACCAAGAGAACCAGGACTATTTGCGTGAACACCGGTGGCCTCCAGTGTGGTATTTAAAGGACTATGACTACTATCAACGTTGTATAAATGAAATGAACAAAGAAATCAAAAATTCCCGACGAGACTCCCGCAGTGACGATGAAGGTTGTCTTTGTTTTACTGGTGGTGAGTAATGAAAATGTGTGAGTAGGAATCATGTGTAGTCTAGAACCATTAACATTTGAATAGTATTTGTTCGTTGTTTCGTAAATAAATATTTTATTTTGTTACCGCTCATTGTAAAACAGTCAAATGAAAACTAACAAAAATTCCAAAAACAGGTGAAAATACTTAGTCAACTTATCAGCATACATACTACTGTTTTACTCGGCTAAATTTGTCTTGTAAAAAGTAGTGTTTTCTAAAATTAACCTGCACGGTTTGCTACTTTTCGACAAGGGGAACGGTTTCTAGTCATACCTTGCAAAAATGGTAAAAGTATTAGACTCTTACGCTTAAATAACCCAAGCTACTGTGTCCAAATTATAGCACGACTTATAAAATCAAACGATGATATTTAGCTACCAGTAGTTGCACGGAATACAGCAGAAACAAAACCACCACCCTTGGTTTGACCATAGTCCAAATAAGTGTAATATTCTTTCCCCATCAGAATGTGCCAGGAGTGAATTCTAATAAATACATGTAGCCTAAGACCATATTCAACTCATTCCCTCATTCGTATGGAAGCCATGGCGGCAAATAGACCTTGGTCTATATCTTCAAGCTATTAAAATAAATATGAAAATAAATACCGAGTATCGTATTTAAAACACTGTGCGACTCAAGATTTAATATTTTCTATCAAACTGATAATCTTTTTAAGGGTTGGGCATATTGCACTAAATTTTTAGTGCACTAAGAATTAAATATTTACCACTAAAGGGTTAGTGGTAGTGAAAAATAAATTGCACTACCACTAACCCTTTAGTGATATTTAAAAAAAATTGCACTACCACTAACCCTTTAGTGATATATAGCATTTTCAGATTAAATGAAACCTTTTGCAATTCAAATGAAACTTTTTGCAGCGGAAATGAAACCTTTTGCAGTGGAATTGAAACCTTTTGCAGTGGAAATGAAACCTTTTGCAGCGGAAATGAAACCTTTTGCAACCGAAATGAAACCATTTGCAACCGAAATGAAACTTTTTGCAAATCAAATGAAACTTTTAGATTTATAGAAGGAAAAATAACAAAACATTTTTATTTTTAGTAGTTTTTAAATTAAATCAATTAATTATAACTAATATATTGACAAAGAGGATTTTTTATTGATTATAAATATCTACATTTATTTATATTATTTCTTACATTTTCAATTATTGTAATAACAAATGGTTCTTTATTGATTTGATATAAAATGCTTCCATATTATTAAATTCCAAATGCTTAACGCTAAAAAAAGAAATTTAAACAAATTTTGGCCATACCATACCTATGCCAGGACTGAAATGTGAAATTAAGCTTTACCACAATTTTTTGTAGTTATAGTATACTATTAATCTTACCTAATAAAGGATTCCCGCTTCGCAGCTTTATTGATTATGGAGATAGAGCAGTCGAGATTTCAATAGACAGATAAGTGGAAATCATTAAATCAACTATGATCATGATTGCATATACTGTATGGGATCTACGACGAATATTTAGAGGCGTTATAAACCGAATGACAAATTTAATATATCCTCCTTTCCATGGAGGAGATTATAAAAGATACCTAATTCGGGTCGTTAAAAAAATACCTTGAAAAACTTTTTTCAATCTTTCTGCATCTACACTTGTGTTTTATGGAAGCTTTAAGAAAAAATTTTATAAAAACATAAATATTAATAATCAATAAAAATTCCTCTTTAACTATATGTTAGTTATAATTAGTTGATTTAATATTAAACCTACTAAAAATAAAAATGTTTTGTTATTTTTCCTTCTTAAAATCTAAAAGTTTCATTTGATTTGCAAAAAGTTTCATTTCGGTTGCATATGGTTTCATTTCGGTTACAAAAGGTTTCATTCCCGCTGCAAAAGGTTTCATTTCCACTGCAAAAGGTTTCATTTCCACTGCAAAAGGTTTCAATTCCACTGCAAAAGGTTTCATTCCCGCTGCAAAAAGTTTCATTTGAATTGCAAAAGGGTTCATTTAATCTGAAAATGCTATATAAAAAAAATTGCACTACCACTAAATTTTAGTGGTAGTGAAATTTTAATAGGACTACCACTAAATTTAGTGATTTTAAAAAAAAAAATTTGCACTACCACTAAATTTTAGTGAAGCCAAAAAAACACTATGTATATAAGTATTATACCAGCTATAATGAAGTTTATTGAAATGAGTAGGGAACAACAATCCAGAATATATAGTACATATTCATAAAATTTGATTACTTTTCTAAATAGCACTAATTTAGTGCTATTTTTTATGAAATACCACTAATTTAGTGCAAGTTTTTTTAAATACCACTAAATTTAGTGGTAGTGCTATTGAAATTTCACTACCACTAAGATTTAGTGGTAGTGGAATTTTTTTTTAAATATCATTAAAGGGTTAGTGGTAGTGCAATTTATTTTTCAATTAAAATTAATTAAATTAAAAATTGCACTACCACTAAATGAACAGTGATAGTGAAATTATTAGTGCACTAAAAATACAGTGCATTATGCCCATCTCTGATATCTATTGCATGTAATAAGCCCTCACAACAATACAATCCTCTGAAACTGAGCTTGTAATTTTGTAAATTTTAGTTCTAACGAAAACAATTGATTTTAACTGATCATTTGTACATACTTTATATTTTTGTAATACATTGAAGTGCATTTTAGCCATGTATTATATCAGAATTTAGATCGCAGTCTTAACACATTACAATGGCCTCTTATTTATTGAATAAATTGAAAAATATATATGTCTTTTTTAACGTGTATCTCGGGAGTCTAGATAGCACTGCAATTCTGGATATGGTAATCTTCAAGCTTGTATTATTAGAATAAAATCATCTCACTACATTGATCATTTCTCTTTGATTATTAATATGAACTTTTCGAAAAAGTAATTTCTTGGATGCTAGGAAAACCAAAACCCCAAAGGATGTCTTCTGGAAATGGAAGTGAAAATGCGAATGAGACACAGATTCTCAACAGCTCTGGAATTTCAATGAATCATATTGATTTGGAGGCCGACATGGACTTGAATCTCTGACATCCAGCCTTGGGGCATAGGCGGTAAGTTATATGAATCTGCTTTTGAAATGCTCCAACTAATCTAGTATTTAATTGTTTTAGATCGCTACGTTTCATCGTCATTTTGCCCGTATTGATTTGCTTCATATGTACTATTTTGAGTATTTTAATACTCTTTCAAATTTACACGTAACGCTGGAAATGGAGGGAGAGATGAATACGGAAATAGGAAATTTGGCTGCAAGACAATTTGGACCATTTCTGTAGTAGGAACAGCCGAGTTATTTTTTAGACTCAACAATATTTTCTATGTTAATCAGTTATTGTATAAGAAAAAGGCAAGCATTTTAACCGCTTCAAACATTAAATTGCGAAATAGGGAACTTTTGTCTAGCCATTAGCTCTTAGCTTAAGCATTTACTAATAGTAGTTAGTAAGTAAGTAGAAGACACTCATAAAACCAACAATATTTGTTTCTTACTTTGCAAAAATAATTTGTATTCAGTTTTCTACTAGAGAAACACCCGACTGAAGGAATTATGTACATAAGCTACAAATATCACAGTTTTATGGTGTGACATTTGAGCATTAGTTAAACGATTCTTTGGATTTAAGTGATGCATGGCAATCTATGACAATGTTGAAGGTTCAATATGTTCTATGGTCTATTCGATTATATAATATCACATTATAGTTGCAATATCAACAATACACATGTAAATACGTTTTTAACAATGCTATAATATAATGGATCATCTAATAACTGATAATATAACTGCCACTGTACAATCGCCGTTTTGGAAAAAAGAGTTAATTCATCTAATACGTCGGTTTTAACAAGGTAAGTGAGGTAGGTATCGAAATTTATGACAAAGTTGGTAGAAACATACTCAGAAATACCTATCCAAATAATTTTGGAGGGCCAAACTGGGCGGCATTTTCTAGAAAGCAAGCCGCACTTTTTATGTCTTTATCATAAACAGGTTCAATGTGGCAGACATACGCCGGGTCCTAATTATTCAAAAATTAAATTCTAATAGAAAAGTGGTTTTCACTGGGCTATTCGTTTATTGAGATTTAATAATTGAACCATACGATTTTAATATCGCGCATATGTATGTACAGCCACTGTAGAACATAGTGTATTCAGGTGATTAATCAAGTCCAATTAAATAAGATCACACAGGAGGCGAAATCAGGCAAATGCAAAACGTTTTATTGGGAGAAATCCAAAAAAATATGAAATGAAAATTCTATAAAGAACTTATTTTCCCTTCATACAAATGATCATACAACAAGAACCAGTCCGTGTTTATATGATTTGGAGGTGAAGCATCGTTTTGAATCATATAGGAAGCTCTTGTACATATTTTCAAATTCTTTGGAAATTAATATTCATATTTTCTGTTCAAAGTTTGTGAGTTTTGGTATGATAATAAACCATTTTGAACGCCAATGCAATACCCACAAAACTTCATAAGTTTTTTGTTCTACTATAGTTTTTTTTATTAACAAGCCTCTGTTATAGGCGGTGCCTCTACACATTTTTATGTCCATATTTACTATGATGAATTTTATCTAGTCTTTACCATTTCATGTCTTGGCTTGTGTATAATTGTTACCATTCCATTTATTACATATACCTTGAGCACCTTGTGTGTGAAGTTATAAAATTTGCCTATGAGGGGCATTGAAGGATTTATTACATATAGTTGGTGAACCTTTTATTTGCAGAATTTACAAACATTTTCAGGTCGCAAAATTTCTGAGGGCTCTTTTTAAAGGAATATATTTTCAAACAAAGAACAAATTAAATTAATTCTTTTTTAAACATTTGCGTCCATTTTTACAAGTAGTATTTATTTACGCATTTCACCCTGAATATGTTCTTTCGTTTCTAATTAAATGTTATTGAAAGTCTTTGAGAATTCATATTGGTTTGTAATAAAATCTATATACATGCCACTGTCCATAAATATTTAACATTCGATGTCACCTCGTTATAATTTATATATGTGTGCATAATATACCGTGTGTTTCAAATAGTGGCTTCACTAACGCTGAAGCTATTGGCAGGTGTTTTTTGTTCTACTTCTAGTTCATCTAACATCGCTATAAGTTCAGCATCACTTATTTCTATTTTCTGTGGTTGCGTTATTTGAGAGTCATTCGCTGGAGCTTTGCCTGGTATAATGGGCGAAGATGCAGCAGCCTGATCTGCAAACAGCCCCTTTAGTTCGCGTTCTAATTCGTCCTCTTCTTCCGTAGAGAGACATTCAGAGGTGCTTGTCTTAGCAATAATTTCTTGTAGGTCAGAATTAGTATCTATTGTTTCACGCAAATCTGAAACAATTTCTTCGACATTATCATATGTTAGGTTGGACGATTTTAGAATTTCTTGCAAAGCCTTCGTTCCATATTTATACGCGTCCAAAATCACTCCATTATGTTTAGCATCATCTAAGTTGGACATGAGCGATTCTATGTTATGTAAAGCATCGCTGCGTTTTGCTAAAACGAAATTTGCATAAAAAAAGAGCAAATTATATTTCAATTTTTTTTAAGTTTTCACGAAATTACCATGACTTTTTTCAAGAAGATGCTTTTTGCGCAGATAGGTCTTTGCTAATAATCGCTTATTTTCCTTAATGTATTGACGAGCTTTTTCTTCGTTCTCAGCAACCTGAAATTCCAAGTTCTCAAGTTGTTTCAGCAATAATTGCCTTGTTGTATGGAGATTGTGCAAGCCAATATCCGACTCGTTTATAATTACAGAGGGATGTGATGCGGCTAAAAAAAAATAAATGTAATATTAGCACGGCATGTTTGAGAATCAGATTTCAATACTTGCAAGGTATTTTCACCAAATGTATAATCTGATTATTATTTCCATCGACATTTTGTCGGTAATGTAATCCTATCTTATTCTGGCAGGACAAAGTTTGTAAACATAGGACTAAGCAATCTTCCGACATTTTTGTCGAGGCAAAAATGCTATTTTTCAGTTCCTCATAGCAAAAAATGGCACCAGAGAAAGGAGGATTCTCGAAAATCGCTTGCAAATCTTTGCAGTATTTCTAAGAAGCAGAAGCAAGTATTAAAATCCACATAAGCTTTGTCCAATGAGAATCGTATGTATTACTTTCATTGCAGTAAGGTGCACAAACATGTGATCCTGTTGCGCTGAATTCGGAGACAGAACAGCGTTTTTAATTTTATGCAACGGGTTTTTCCAAAACCTGAGCACGGCCCAACCAGTCCAGCCGTTTGAGGGGTCGTACTCGTACTCGAGGCGAGGTCGTATAAGTCCACTTCGCTGCATTTCGCCAATCACTGTGTCTAGGCAAGAAGGAACTCTTTGTCCAATTGAAAATGTCTGAAGCAACTCATATTTGGAAAATGTCGACGTTCCCCTATGCAGACAGAATTCTAAAATGATGTCTTTCCAAAATTTCATTTTCGAATCGTAATTTTCAGGATTAACACTGCGTTCCCTAAAAGGAGCATATAATGCTTGAGCTCTCAGTTCGTCATTAAGAACGGCAGGCAGTTGAAACTGTTTTGGAGATTTAGCCCCCTGTGATTTGGAGGATACACTGCTCATTGTGTCGTAGCTGCGAACTCGTTCTAATCCCAAGTTAAGGTTTCCAATGGACCCAATATGGTCGGTCGTCGTGTTATTTGTGTAGACGTCCCAACGAAACAACAAAGAAGGCAAACAGGTAAGGCCCGATAAAAAACGAACCGAAAGTAAAATCACCGATAACTCTGTTGTTTACGAATGAGAACAACACAATCAGCCATTCATTACCCGAGAACACGGTCGCATCGACACAGCTGCTGGGACAACTAACTGTCAAACCAATTTGGAATTGAAGAATTTAAAAGAAAAATTATTGACATTTGTAAAATTTGTTGAAAAATGCACGCATTAACAAAAAACTGAATGAGGGGTCGACATTTCTTTTCAAAATTGTGTTCTATGTTTCTCCAAAAACTGATTTCGCTACAAAAAGTGTAATAGGTGTCCATACATACATACATTAGTTGTGTTCCAGTACTTTTTTAGTAGTAAAACTAGCAGAAGAGAGAACAGTTCGAAATGTCATTCTCAATTAGGTGTGCTCAAAAAATAAGGGAACGGAAAATTAGCAGAAATGCGATAAAATGTCAAAATTCAAAATTCCAAGAGTAAACAGTCCAAATCGGACTGGTGAAACCTTACTGAAACGGACGCCAAAATTTAAAAAAAATTAGTATTGAAGACGATACGTTAAAATTAATAATCTATAATAATAATTAATAATCTGATTCATCATTCAGCCAGTCCTCTTCACTACTGGAATCATCCAAAAGTGCTCCATATTTTCTCTTTTTGTTTTTTTTTGCACTACAAATATTTATATAATATTTCTTTATTTTTGTTATGACGCGGGAACATTGAAATGTATCAATACATTTTTCAACCTTGTTAGCCCTGCCAATTAAATGTCAAATTCACAATTTGCACATTTCTGCTCGGCCAAATTCATGTAGCTAAAACAAGCAGAAATGTGCACCACTCAGCGCCATTTTTTTCTCGAGAGAGCTGCAAGTTTTGCTAGTTTTTGCAGTACGGGAACGCGTTGTTGCAGAATTAGTACTAATTTGTAGGTTCTGGAACACAACTATTGTAATACGCATTTTGATTACAACCATTGTAGAAGAATATAGGTAGACGCATCAACAAAGCTGCTGGGACAATTAACTGTCAAACCAAATTTTGGAATTAAAAATGTTGAATGAAAACTTATTTACATTTGTATAAATTGTTAAAAAACGCCTATTATAATAACTTCCGAATGACGTCGTATAAAACATATAAAAATCTACTTATATTTGAAAAGACATTCAACATTTTTTGACATGTCAATGTTCCCAACCGTCATAGAAGAACAAAGAAGTTTTATTTATTTGCACTATAACATGTATACAAAGTTTTTAGGCCTTTAGGTCAGTCAAAAAAGCGTTTTATGTAGTCTCACCATTAGAATTTTCGTAGAAATCTGGAAACAAAGAGGCACTGTTTTCAAAAATATTAACATTTACACAAAAAGTCCGAAGCATGAATGAAAATTTTATAAATAATGATAAAATCATGGTAGAATTAAGAAGGTAAAGTTATGCAGTTATATGTTCACAATTTTTTCAAAATTATTCATTTGACGACATCTCATTGTCAAAATTTACATTTATAAACCCATTGAATTCACACAAATCAGAGATGGGAACCAATTTTTATGCCATGTAATTTGACAAGGTAAACTACAAAAAAAGCAGAGGAGGGAATGCTTATTTGAAATGACTTTACCTTCTTAATTTTACCATGGATAAAATAAATCTTTGGAGGAAAAAAAAACATGTCGTCTATTTATATTAATATGAGTTTCATCTGTTTTCCGAAAAATGCTCATTAAATTCAACAAATTAAATTGAAAAAATAATTATGTTAATATGAATTACGAATCGTGCCGTATGAATGGATAAATTCGTGCACCTAATGCTGAAAGCGAACAACGTGATTGGTATTGTTATGAGAACATAGCATAAACTTTTCACTACGATAACTGATTTTTACTTTATTATATCGTAAAACTAATAACTCAAAATTCATCCTTTCCTTGCACCGTTTTTACAACTCCATCTACTTTTTTGAGTAAGGGAAAACGTTTTTAGTTGCAATATAGGTTAAACATGATTAACTTTCACGTAGAGAAAAATATCTAAAGTAATTACGCATGCGTAAGAAAAA